GAGGAAGGGAAAGGGGGGGAGGAACACCGCCGGGCCGGTGGCGACGGCTTCTCCCGGTGGTGGGTTATGGGGTTTTTTTGGAGCCGGTGTCCTCTTTCCCTCCCCGCTCCTCATTTGTCCTGCTATCTCCCTCATCATCTCCTGCTCCTGCTTTTCATTGTTTACCTTCTTAATGAGGGAGGCGGGGAAGGCCGGGCCTTGACTGACAGCGACAAGCCCTTACGGACCGGCTGGAGGGCCGGAGGCTGCGGGGCGGCCCCGGGGGGCTCCGGCATGCGGGGCCGGGAAAAATCCCTTCGGGAAAAGCGGGGCGGCCCTGGGCTCCGCTGCGGGCCAGCGCCGGGGGGGGGAGGTGGGGGGGTGGAGCTGGCCCCACGCTACTCTGTAGCAAGTGTATTTTTACTTCAAAGCGGAAAATGCTAATTAACTGATACCTGCTTTTAAAGTTACTGCGAAGCATATGGTGCGCAGTGTGAGGCTCCTCCGGCTGCTCAGAGCAAGCGAGGAATTAGCGAAGAAGAGAGCCGGGATGTAGGGAAACGGGGCTTTGCTCCTAGGAGGGGAAACTTAGTAAATGCCGCTGCCCGTCCGGGAAAAACAGTCGTGAAAGGAAAAGTTGATGATGATGATGATGATGGTAATAATAATAATAAAACGAAAGAAACAAAACAAATAAAGGAGCAGGGAACCCAAACAACCCCAAAGTCGCCTCTGAGCTCCCCCAGGCCGGGTGACAAAACACCGGCGGTTGTGCTTGGCTCTGCGGTACTGCCCGTTGGGGAGAGCGGCACGGCCGGGCCGGGTCGTACCGGGCTGGACCGTGTCTTGCTCCCCGGCGCAGCGGCCCCGGCAGCCGCTGACCGGTGTGTGCGTGTTTCGGTTTTCTCCCGCAGACTGGCAGAAGACGGAGGCGCAGAAGAGGCGAGAGCAGCTTCTGCTGGACGAACTCGTTATTCTCGTTAACAAACGGGACGCGCTGGTCAGGGACCTGGACGCCCAGGAGAAGCAGTGAGTCGGGAGAACGAGCTGGGGAGGGGGGGGTTCCCTTCTCCACGGGAAGTTTGTGACGAGTCCGAGGGCGCTGTGGCCGTGGCCGGGTCTCATTACAGCCGCGCATCCCGCGCAGCCCCTCACCGAGCCTCCCGCCGCCTCTTTCCGCAGGGCCGAGGAAGAGGACGAGCATTTGGAGAGGACCCTAGAGCAAAACAAAGGCAAGATGGCCAAGAAGGAAGAGAAATGCGTCCTCCAGTGAGCGGCCTTCCCGCGGCGGTGGCAAAATCACAGCGCGGCTCTTTCTTATGTTTTTAAAATGCCGACAGCAGACTGGAAAGGAAAAAAAAAAAAAAAGGAAAATTAAAAAAAAAAAAGGAAAAATGTTTTGAAAAGGGAAAAAAAAAATTTTAAACTTTTTCCATTTTCTTAGGCCAGATCTAGGCTGCGCCGGGCCCCGCTCCGTTGTTTTTTGGTTTCCACTCAAGCGAACTCGCGTTGTGCCAGGGTTTCCGTGTGGGCTCAGCTCTCCTGCCGAAAGGCTTTGAAACGGAATCGCCGAGCCCCCGTGTGAGCGGCGGTGCCGGAGATGTGCGGAGGAGCAGAAGAAAGAAAGTGCGTCCTGGATGCTGTAGCTGGAGGAGGGCTGAGTTTTGAAATAAATATGTTTTTGTCGTAATAGGATTAGAGAGGGGGATATAGGAAAAAAAATATCATTGGGAATGGTTTCATCTAGTCCTGCCATATGTAATACTTAATAAGCTACCTACATTTTATAGTTAGGTCAGATCCACCCCAGTTATTATGATTAAAAATGTGCTGTATTTACCAGTGTTTTATTTCAGCAGTTTTACATGTCCCCGGCAGCAGAGCTGAGCCGCTCTGCTCTACTCGGGGGGTTCCTCCGCCGGAGTCAGTGCAGAGCCTGGGGAGCGGCAGGGACCGGCCTGGGGCAGAGCCCGGCCCGGCCCGGCCTGGTGCCTCCCCCTGCGTCCCCCGCGGGCCCGGGCCGCCGCTCCGCGTTATTTATTGCGCCCGGGCCGCGTCCACCCCGCGCCCGCCCCCCCCCCCCCATTCGCCCCGTCGTGTGTCCCCACGCGTGTCCCGCGCTCGCATCGTCCCTTCGTGGAGCTCGTCTCGTTTATTTATTACAATACCGAGTCATATATAAGATTTTCAATAAAAGCCGACTCTTTCTTACCGTAAACTGCCGCGTTCCTCTTTACCTGGGGTACTCCTTCCATCCCTCCCTCCATCCCTCCTGCGCCGGCTGGGGAGGGGGTCCCGGGCCCCGGGAAGGGCCCGACTCCGCGTGGGGCAGAGGGGCCCCGCCGCTGCGGCCGCCGCCGCTTCGGTACCGCAACGAAACCCACCAGAGGGAAAAGTTTTTCGTTTGCTTTTAATAAAACGCAGCTCTCGGAGGGGGAAGTGAAACTTTTCCCGGCGGGGCCGATGCTCCCGGAGCGGGGGATGCGCGGGCAAAGCCCGGCCATGCAAGGAGCGCACCCACGGGGAGCGGGGCCGGAGGGAGCCCAAACCCTGCAGGGGCGCGGCTGCCGCCTGGGAGGTACCCCCGGACCCCAGCATCGCCGGCGGCTCCGGGTGCAACTGCGACCCGCTCCCACCAAAACCTCACCCGGGGAGGACGGGGCACCCGGCCTTGGGCGAGCGGCCGGCGGGCCGCGGGCTGTGCCGGTGCCCGCCGGTGGGTTTGGTCCCGTGAGAAGTTGGGGGGGATGCGGGGAGGGCCCTCGGCCTAATCACAACAATACAGATGCTGGGGGGGGGGGGGGGAAGGGCGCGCTCCGAGAGCTCCGCGGCCGCGGGGAGCAGCGGAGGGGAGCGGAGAGGGGAGCGCGGTAAAGACCGCGGTGCTGCCTGCCCGGGGAGCACCGGGAGCTGCTGAGCCCGAAGCTCGGGGCTGCCCCCGGGGGTTTCGCGGTCGCACATCACACCCCGATACCCCGCGGGCCCGGTGCTTGTCTGTCTTTAACGCGAGAAAAGTAACTCAGCCCCTGAGCTGCGGGGAAAATAAGTGAGTGCGTGAGTGCGTGTGTGCCTTCCCGCTCACATCCCGGGATCGGGCCGCAAGGGCCCCCCGTCCCGTGTCCTGCCCGAGCTGTCCCGCCTGCCCCCCCCTCAGCAGCAGCCCAGCCCCCGCCCTCCCGCCCGTAGCCCCGACCTTACCTGGGCGCAGCGGGGAGGGCGCAGCTCCGTCCGGCGGAGGGGACGGGACGGGGGGCCCGGAGAGAGCCGGGACCGACCCCTCGGGGGGCGGCGAGCCCCGCGCCAGCCCTGCCCGCAGCCCCGGCCGAGCCGGCGGGGAGGCGCCCGCAGGGGGGTGCTGAGCAGCCGCGGTGGTTGCGGGTGGGTCGGGGGGGGGGGCACAGATCTCCCGGTGTGGGGAGGGAGCCCCCGGGGGCGGCCGCTGCCCTCCAGGACCGGCGCTGCCCCGGCGGGAGTAGTGATGGGGCGGCGGTGGGGAACGCAGCCCAGCCGGGAGCTGCCCCGGCGGGACCGGGGCTAAACAGGGGGGCCTGGAGGGTGGGGGAAACTGTCCCCCTAAATCATTCCGCCTCCCTCCTCCTCCTCCCTTTGCTTTTTGTGAATGGGCCGCGGCGCCTTTGTTGCGGGGAGAAGTGCCCGTGTCGCTGACTTTTGTGGGCAAGCGGAGGAGCTTGTAAACCTCCTTTTCTCTGCCCCCCTCGGCCCGTCGTCACCCTCCCGCCCGGATTAGACGGTTCCGTCCTGGCCCGGGAGAAAAGGGGAAAAGAGAGGGGGGAAAAAAGAAAATGGGGGGGAAGGAGGAAACCCGCGCTTTGGTGGGGCCGGCGGGCAGCGCCTTTGAACATTAGCTCGCTTTCAGCTCCCACTGCAGTTAGGGGGAGTTGATTTGGGGAGACCAACAAAAGCCGGGTCCGGGGCCGCTCCGCCGCCCGCGCGGCTGCAGCGCCGCACTCCGCGTTCCCCACTTCTCCGCGCACCGGCCGCGCCGCTCCACTGTCGCAGCCGCTGCGGGGAAAGAGTCGGGCTGCGCGGAGCTGTGCGGAGCTGCGCGGAGCGGTGAGTCCCGTCCCGTCCCGTCCCGTCCAACCGCCTCCGAACTCCCGCTCCCCGCCGCTCCCGGGCCGCCCTTGGCGCGGAGCAGCCGCTGAACGCGGGACTCGCGGTAAAGGTGCGGCCGCTGCTTCTTTATTCTTATTTTAAAGCACGAAGTTTGGGCGAGTTTCCAGACACTGGGGGGGGGGGGCCCCCCCCGGGACCCCTCTTCCCCCTGCTCCCCGCCGCTCCCCGCTGCTCCCTGCACCATCCCCGCCTCCAGCAGCGCCCTCCGCGCCGGCCCAGGCGGACGCCGAAACTTTTCCGCGGTCCCGCTGACTGCGGGCTCGGAGCAGCGCACGGGGGTGCCGGGGGAAGGGGCAGAGCTGAGCGGCCGCGCAGCGGCTCCCCCCGCGCAACTTCTCCAACCATTCCCACCCGCCCCCAGCACCTCCGCGGAGGTTACGCGGGGCCCTGCGCGCTCACCCCCACCCCCGCTCCACCCGCTGGGCTCCGACACCCGCTCTCCGCACCGCCGGGACCGGGTCGGGAGCACCGGCGGTGGGTGCGCGGGGGAGCGCGGAGCGGGGGGGGGGGGGGGGGCGCGGAGGGAGCCGTCGCCCTGCGCTGCCATTGCCCGGGCGGCTGTCAGTCAGGCGGGGAGCGGCCGGGGATTGGCGCCGGGCTGGTTACGCAGATGCTTTGCGCGCACATACAAGGGTAGGGCCGGGGGTAGGTGATCAATCCTCATCAGGGCCGCGGCTCCATCGCCCCGACAGCGCGGGCCGCCGGCAAGGTAACGCGGGGCGCCCCGGCAAGTTGGGGGTGCGCGGGTCGGCCTCGGGCATCGCCCCCCCCGCCCCTTCCCCAGCCCGCCCCCCCGCCCGCCCCCTCCGCGCCCCCCGCCCGCTCCGCCCTGCCCCGCGCACAGCCCCCGCCGCTCCGCAGGTGGCCGCGCAGGTGAGGCGGGACGGTGCGGCGCGATCCGCGCTCCCCGACGGGGCGGCCGGCGGCGGGACGGAGCGGAGGGGAGCGGAGCGGTCCGGCGGCACCGCCACCCGCACTCGGGGTGCTCGTGTCTGTGAGTGTGCGATGGGGGGCAGTGGGGGAGGGGGCACGGCCGGGACGCGGCTGCCCCGGGGTTTTCCTCTTTCTCTTTTCTTTTTCCCCTTCTTTTCCCGTCCTTTTCCCCCCTCTCTCCGCCCGGCACCGTCCCTCTCCGCCGCGCTCACCGGCAAAGTTATGCAACGCCGGGTCACGGCGCTGCCGCCCGCGCTGCGCCCGGTCCCGGCCTGCCGAGGGGTGCTCCTCACCCGCGCCCAAAACTTACCCCCACACCCGCTCTCACCGGCCGGGCCGGGCCGGGCCGGGCCGCGCTGCCCGCGGTGCCCCCGGGGGGGGGGGGGTGTCCCGGCCTCGGCAGCGGGGGCCGCCCCCGGGGCTCGGCGGGGCCGCCCGGGGTCTCTCCGCCCCTTCCTCCCCTCCGCGTTTATCTGCGGCTTTTTGCCACCGAGCCCGGCCGCTGCCTCCAGCCGGCGGCCGCCGGGTCCCGCCTGTCCCCCCCGGCTCCGCCGGAGCCCCCGGGCTGGGCTCCGCCGCCGTCCCGGCGCCCGCTCGGGTGCCTGCGCGCTCCCTTTCCCCTTTTTAACTCTTATCCATTTCTAATTAAAACGTCCCGTCTGCTCGCTCTTACATTAATTATTCTTCCCTCCTCTGGTACCTCCTTTTGATTCCTAATCCAATTATCTTTTTAAATAATTGCTTTATCTCTCCCCATCGCCGGGCACTGTTGCCTCTCGGCGCTTGGGCGCAACTCGCCTTCGTTTGCAACAAAATACCACCAATAATATCACCAATACAATTCACAACTGAAGGCCTCCGGCCCGGACCGCGGCGCCGGGTGCGAGCAGCGCTGCGGCCGCCGAGCCCCCGGGGCGCCCATCGGCAGGACTCGGGGCGGCCGGACCCCTAACCCGCCTCTCTCCGCTCTCTCCCCAGGCGCTCCGGCCTCGCCTCTGCGCGGGGAAGAAACCCGACTTTTTGTTTCCTGATCCTCGTTATTTCATTTTTTTCCTCCTTTTTTTCTCTCCCAATTCCTCTGCTGCGATCGCTCGAGGACCTCGCGGCGGTGACGGCGGGACGGAACGAAACAAGCTCCTTTTGCACCTATTCTGTGCTTCGTTTCTTCGATTTTCAATTGTCGTTGGCTTTTGCATTTTTTTGCCTCTTGTTCGGGGTTTTTTGTTGGGGATTTTTTTTTTTTTCCCTCCTTTCCCCCTCCCCACACTTTCGATTTTTATTTTTTTTATTATTGTTATTACAATTATTTTTTTTTTCTGCGGGACTTTGGAGGATCCCTGCCCGGCTTTTAGCATGATGTCGTACCTTAAACAGCCCCCTTATGGCATGAACGGGCTGGGGCTGACGGGCCCCGCCATGGACCTGCTGCATCCCTCCGTGGGGTACCCCGGTGAGTGCCGGCGCCGCGGACTTCCCCATCCCCCGATGCACCCCCTGCTTCATCGGTGGGGAGAAGCTCTGTCCCCGTCGGGTTTGGGGTGGGCTGTAGGGTGGGTGCCCCCATTTGCCCGCACCCCTGGCCAGACACAGCAACGTGGAGGGGACAGCTCCGGGTCCAGCTGAATTTTCCCTCTTTCCCGGGGCTTCTTCGTTCCCACGGGGATTTTTAAGGATAGAAAAGCTTTAAAACAACAGGAAAAAGCAGATTTACTTCAACACAACGAAATCTCCCCAGTGCTGCCCCCGGGGGCAGGCCTGCCCCTTCCCCAGCCATGTCCTGCCCGTTGTGCCTGCAGCAGGGCAGTGTCCGCTGCCGTGGGGCCGAGTTGTGCGTGCGGGGGGCAGCGCAGTTCCTTGGGGTGGGAGGCGGGGATGCTTCCCCAGCCCTTCTCCCGCGGGGTGCCGGGGCTGCGGGAGGTGTGTGGGGACCCGGTGTGACCACCGCAGCGATGCTCGTCCTCAGCCACCCCGCGGAAGCAGCGGCGAGAGCGCACCACCTTCACCCGCTCGCAGCTGGACGTGCTGGAGGCTCTCTTCGCCAAGACCCGGTACCCCGACATCTTCATGCGGGAGGAGGTCGCCCTCAAGATCAACCTGCCTGAATCCCGAGTCCAGGTACAGGACCTGTTGAACTGGGCTGGGGGGATGCGGGGCTCTGCCACTCAGATCCAGCTCTCGCCCCAAACTCATCCCTGTTTCCTTGGGGATGGAAAGCGTGTGAACTCCCTGCCACTTGTCTCTCCCACCTGGGGGCATCCAGGCAAAGGGGGGGGGGCTTTTATTCTTCTCTCTTATCCTCTTATTAGTTTTCTTGTAATTAATATTTTTCTGCCCTTTCCACCTGCCCCAGAGTGTAGCAGCCCCACTCCCCGGGTGCTTCCAGGGGTGCTCCCTCCGGCACTGCTTCCTGCACGGTGAAGCCCAGCGGGGTGGGATATGCAGGCAGCACCCTGTGCAGGATCTGTCCCCCAGTCCCATATACTGTCACAGCTCAGGGAACATGCGTGTGAGCTGGGACACCCCAGCCGCTGCCCCTGGTCACCCATGCTTGGGGCAGGATGCGGGGTGATCGGGTGCCAGTCAGAGGTGGGGTTTTTTTGGGGTGCGGGGGTGAGCGGTGCTAATGGCTGGGTGTGTGTGCTGGGAGAACTGGAGCTGGGGTGAGGTAAGCTGGGTGCTGCCGGGCAAGCGGAGGGCCTCTGGAAGCAGCCTCTGGCCTCCTCCTCTCCCCACCGCTCACCCCATTGCACCTCATTTTGCCTCCCCAGGTCTGGTTCAAGAACCGCCGTGCCAAGTGCCGGCAGCAGCAGCAGAGCGGCAGCGGGGCCAAGAGCCGGCCGGCCAAGAAGAAGTCGTCGCCGGCTCGCGAGAGCTCGGGTTCAGAGAGCAGCGGGCAGTTCACGCCGCCGGCCGCGGCCTCCAGCTCAGCCTCCTCGTCCTCCTCCAGCTCTGCCTCGTCGGCCCCAGCCGGTGCCCCGGCATCCCTCAGCACCCCGGCATCGTCCATCTGGAGCCCAGCGTCCATCTCTCCCGGTGCGGCACCGGCAGGGGTGACGGTGCCCGAGCCCCTGCCACCAGCCGCCGCGTCCTGCATGCAACGTGCCGGCCCCACCGCCGCCGCTGCCTCCACCAGCTACCCCGTGTCCTACGGCCAAGGCGGGGGGTACGGGCAGGGTTACCCCGCGCCGCCCTCCTCGTCCTATTTTGGAGGCGTGGATTGCAGCTCCTACCTGGCGCCCATGCACTCCCACCACCATCCCCACCAGCTCAGCCCCATGGGGCCCTCCTCAGTGCCCGGCCACCACCACCACCACCCGCTGAGCCAGAGCTCGGGCCACCACCACCATCATCACCATCACCACCACCATCAGGGTTATGGCAGCACCGGGCTGCCCTTCAACTCCTCCGACTGCCTGGACTACAAGGAGCCTGCCGCTGCCGCCGCTGCCTCCTGGAAGCTCAACTTCAACTCCCCCGACTGCCTCGACTACAAGGACCAGGCGTCCTGGCGCTTCCAGGTCTTGTGAGGGGCCGACCGCCATCCCCCCCAAGCTGCCGTGGACCCCTCGCCCAGGGTCTTCCCACCACCGCCCGGGCAGGACTCTGGCTCCGGCTCTTCCTCCATCTCCTCCTCTCCCCTCTTCATTTGCAGTGGTGATGCCCCGGGGTGGGGGTCCTGCACCCCCATCTCTACTGACTGATATTTATTTGCTTCCTGCGCCCCTCCAGCGGGTTTATTATAATTATTATTTTTTTAAACGCGACAGAAGAGGAGTTTAAAAAAGAATAATAATAATAATAATAGTAATAATAATGCAAAGCCGAGCGTCTCCCCTGCTGCCCCCCGGGCAGAGGCGCAGGCTGGCTCCTGCCCTGCCGGTGCCCCCCAGATTCAAGTGGGGACCCTCACACCCTCCTTTGGGTGCGGGAGCCCCCGGCTCGCCGGTCCTGTACAGCCTCTTGCCGCTGGGAGCGGTGGGATCGATGTAAATACTGGGTCCGTTCCAGTGACCCCGATTGTTTTCAGTTGATGCTGTCGGGCTGGCGTTTCTCTAGAGTCTAACATGGAGCAGAACTTTAAAAAAAAAAATCCTTTTTTTTTTTTTTATCTTAATTTTAATTTTTTTCCCCTAAAAATGAACCTTTCCCTATCTCGTGTCCTCCGTCCACCCTCGAGGGCTCCGCGTGAGCTCGGCCGTGCCGTCCTGGGGCTGGGGTGCGTGTTGGGGCGGGCGGGGAGCAGCCCAAGGGGAGGCAAAGAGGGAGGGGAGGGCTGCCCAGCTGATCCGCAGCCTGCAGACCAAAAACACCCGGAACTTTTGGAAAAAATAATGAAAAAACAATAATAAACAGGAAAGGAAAAAAAACAGCAGCTGAAAAGAAAGTTTTGGTTTGTTTTGTTGGGGGGGTTACAGGGGAAAGCGGCTCTGATTTGGTGGTTGGGGGGGCACGGCTTCTTGGGGGTGTGATTTTGGGTTGGTGGGGTGGGTTTTATCAGCCCCTTCTGTTGGTTGGTGCGTTTCCACGGGTCCAGGCTGCAGCTCTGCGTGCCCGGCTGCCCACCCGCCCCAGGCTGGGGCTTTCCAGCAGCTTTGCCCCATAGCAGGAGAGGGGCCGTGTACGTGTGATTTTTGATGCCATAACCCCACACTTACCCCTTCAACTGTAAGGCACCCCCCTCCCCCCCACACTTCTTTCCCCACTCCAATAAAACCCAAACTAATAAACGTGGTGGTGTCCTGTCCTCCTTCCTCCCACCCGCCTCCTCCTCTTCCCCAGGGAACTGAACTTCCTTCCCTGGGAAATACTTCCCGGTGGGTCCCAGCAGGATGGGCGTTGTGTGTGTGATGAGTTTGTGAGTGCTCAGGGGGGGAGACCCACCGCTGCCTCCACAGGTGTGGGCTGGGGGCCTGCTTTGATGTGAGTGAGTTGATGCTGTTAATTGGTAACTGATGTACTGCTGCACCGCTGTGCCGGTGGGATTCACGGGGAAGGGCAGATGCTGCCTGAAACAGCAATCCCCCTGCACCCAGTGAGCCAGCCCCACCAACTCGGGACCCACGGGCAGGCCTGGGGGGTGGTGGGGTGCAAGGGCTGCTCGGCCATACAACCACACAGACAGACCTTTGGACCCCTGTGCAGGCAGGTGCAGGGAGGGATGCTCAGCATCCGAGCCTCCAGCCCTTGCTCCCAGCATTTCCCTCCTCAGCTGCTGCCGGCTGCATCCAGATGGGGAAGAGAGGGGACGAAGTATTTCCACTGACAATCTCCCCCTTCTTCTTCCCTCCAGATCTTCCCTGCAGTTGTTGGAGGCTGCCCGCTAACACTGGGGCCATTCCCACTATGTACACGGCTCCTCTCCTGCTATGGGGCAAAGCTGCTGGAAAGCCCCAGCCTGGGGCAGGTTGGCAGCTGGACACACACAGGGCTGCAGCCCGGACTCATGGAAGTGCACCAACATTCCCATATTCCCATGGGACCAGGACTGAGGGGACCGCTGCTACCCTGCTTGGGCCATCGGTGCACTGATGTGTGAGTGTGGAGCATTCCCAAATTCCCCTCCTCCTCCCTGTGATCTTGCAGCAGTTCCCACTGCACCCAAGAGTGTTGTGGCTGGGCTGTGTGCTCCCATCGCTGGTGTTGAGGAATCAGTGTTCTCCTCTGGAGAGGGTTTGCACCTCTCTCTATCCCCCTGAGCACCCTGGTGGGATGCAGACAGGGCTGGGAATGTGCTGCTGTGGCTGCTGAGAAATGGGCTGCAGTGGGAAAAGTAGTGGGGGTCACCCCCAGGAGCCACAAGCTCTGTGCATCCTTCCAGGGTCAAAGCCACAGCACAGCCCCAAGGCAGGGAGTGACCGATGGCCTCATGGTGCAGTAGGGAGAGCTGAGAGAGGATGAGTGCAACTGAGCTGATTTCAGGTGATTTTTCTTTAAATGGTTCTTTTCCCCGTTGTCTCCTTAAGTGTGCGTGTACACACACACACACACACACATAAGTATATTATTATGCGTATGTTCTCTCCTGCAAGCACTAGTAAGGCACTCATCACACCAAAGGGTGGCTGTACAGGCAGTTTGAGGGAGGACCACACATGCTGGTTCTGGGTGCCACCAGCCTATGTATGCATCCCCAAGCCCTTCATTTAAAGAGAAAAAGTTGTTCACAGCCCTTCAGGAGCTGTAAAATGAAAACAAAACCAAAAATCTGTGCTCAGCCCAAAGTGAAGCCTCCCAGGTTCAGTGAGCACCTGGGATACAGGAGCCAGCAGCTGTGTAACACCCACCCCACACACTGCATCCTCCTCATGAGCATTGCGTCATTAGAACGCAGTAAATCAGTGCTGCTGAGACACGCAGCCAAGAGGGGAGCCTGAGCTTCATTTTTGGTGATGTGGTCCTAAACCTCTTCTCCACCCAGTCCCCTGCAGTGCAGCTGGGCCCAGGGTCTGCTTCAGGGTTCAGGACTCCGAGGGATGCTCGTGTCCCCCAGGTAAATGCCCCTGCTTTGGGCACACAGCAGCACCCAGTGCCGCAGCCCCATGGCTTCTGCATCCCCCACACCACAGGGTGGTCTTTTCCCTGTCCCACAAGTACAGACCTGGAGCACAGCGGTGGGGCCAGCTGCTGAGCCCAGCTGGAGGCAGGGGCACAGAGGAGACTCTTTGAGATCACATCAAATAATGGCTTTGCCCTTACTGCCTGGCTTCATTTTGTTGCATTTCTCTGAGCCCTGGAGTTTCTGCGAAGGTCGACACGCACAGCTCCATTGGGAACAGCCGGGCTGCTGGAAAACAACTAAACCTGATTATTTCTGTCCTCTTACATCAGGGAGAAACCCCTGGAAAAACAGCACAGTGACAAACCAAAGCAATGCCCTTTGAAGAGCCGAGCGTGGTCAGGTTTCATCCTCCCTCCACCTCCACCGCCTATGGGTGGGTGCCAGCAGCACGGGCAAGATGTGACTTGTGCCCACTGGTGGGTGAGCATGGACCAGGGAGGGTCACGGACAGGTTTGGGGGGCCCCAGCACCCCCCCCACACACACTTTGCTAGCCAGGGTTTGGGTGGCGGAGCAGACACCTTCCACTGCGGGCTTCCCTGAGGCTGGAAGAGGCGCTGCCGCCCGGAGCACAAGTCTTGGCAGGTAGAGCAGCGCTGGCTGCGGTGCCCGGCTCTGGGAGCAGGCGCCGGCGGGATCGGGCAGCCTGGTTGTGAAAGGGCTGCCTGCTTCACTGGGTGATGGGTGCCTCGCGTCTGCAGCAGGAACGCTGCTGGGTGCATGGCTGCTATTAGTGGGTTTGTTTCTTGAAGAGTGTTTGCTGCTGCACCGTGGCACTGCCAGTGGCCCGGGGGCTGGTGCTCAGATGCCGGGTTACCTGGCCCAAGCCTGGTGAAGCTCCTGCTTCTCGTCTGTGCGGCAACTGCCTCCACACAGAGCGCCGGCTCCAAAGGCATTTGGTGCTTGTAAGTCAAGGGCCAGGACTTTGTGGGATGCGAGGGGAAGAGGGACAGAGGGTGAGAATACAACCCAGCTTGGGCTGGTTTTATGCTTGGTGCTCATAGACCTGAAATAATTTACGATCCATTTGCTGTTACGGGAGTATGTGCTCTGAGTAGAGCCCCTGCTTGTAAACCTTTGCTCGTAAATCCTCCGCATGTGGTAGGGAGCTGTGACAGGTGATGATCTGAATGCATCTGAATGCCTTTAGCAGTACCTGGCTGTGCAGAGGTGGGCAGAGGATGGGCAGGGCTGCTGCTGGCCAGGGTGGCCAATTGCCATTTTGGGTGTGGGATGTGCTTTGGGGACACAAAGTGCTATGGCTTAGCATGAATTAAATTATCATTAAAAAAAATACTATAAATTGTAAGTTTCAAGAGCTGTACCCACTAAACCCAACCGACTACAGTTATTTTATAGGCAGCCTTTCTGGCAGGGTGCAAAGAAAACAGATGATCCCAGCTGAATTGGGAGTGATTGCACCCGACCATTTGTGGTTTTCCCTGTGCTCACCTCTACGTTAGCCAGTGCATGCTAATTCATGCACTTTGAGCAGCAATTAATGCACAGAAATTCCCACATTGTTTCCAAACCTGTTTTGAATTTGCCAAAAAACCCCTGCTGGTGTAACTCAAGTCCCAGCCGAGGAACCTGCTATACTGGAGAGCTCTTCCTTCGTGTTGTATGGTTGAGCACAAAAAGCTGCGGGGAAGGAGGAGAGTGGAAATGGTCAGAGGGATGAAGCTAAAGGAAACCATATGCCTCTTTCCAGCTAAATCCCTATTCAACACTTCCTTTCTTTTTTTTCCAGGACAGACAGGACTTTTCCAAGAAAGCCACGAGAGGATTTTTTTCTTTTTTAATGAAAAACTGTGATTTTAGGAAATGGCATTCTGGATCTTATGTACATTTCTAGTATCACTTCCTGTATATTTTTAAGCTGAAATCCTCTTAGCATGCAAAGTAAATAGATTATGATATACTGAAGGATTAAGACTCACTGTCTGGTGTCAGATTAATCCCTCATATAGACCATCACTTGTACTGACAGAAATATGGCTGCAATTCAGCAAAAAGCTGCACGGCGGAGCAGCGCATCGCAGCATCTTAGGCAGAACCCCTGCCCAATTGCTGCGGTCCATCCTTGCGCTGTGTGTTTTCCAGAAAATAAATGTAAAGCCATACGACATTAAAGGTGTGTTCCCTTCCTAGTGCCACACGAAGCACAGCCAGTATAGGCACGGCTCTGTGCAGGGAGGTGGTGCAGCAGCCTGCTCTGTTTTGAAGCTCTCTGTAGTGATTTTTCCCTTTGAGTGTACAAAACTCTACACATTGCAGCCCCTTTGCTCCCTTCAAACCACAAAGCAAAAAAGCTCCTTCAAATGCACTCATGGAAAGGTGCTGGTTGGGATGAAGTGCTGAAATGGCCTGGGAGTTTTGGTGTGATCCAAATTGCCTGTTGTGGAGTAGAAATTCAGCAGGATTTTGACTCGTAGGGGAAATGACAGCAAGCACAGATATACTTTATTTGGGCGAATGCAGAACAACTGTTAATAAATACCTCTAATGGCTTGTGTTGTTGACTTTTTTACATTGTGCTTTTATTTTCAGTCCATTCATCACACAGATTTGTTCATCATACAAAACTGATTTCAAGAAGCTCGCCAGCTTTGGGTTGCAGCCATCCAAAAACTCCAGCTTAACCCACATGCATGCCTATGGAAGAACTCAAAACTCTGCATCAGTGCAAGCTGCACCCAATCAAACGGTGGGAAGAAAGACCTGCAGCGATGCTCGCCCTTCTCTTCACTGACAGAAAAAACTAGAGGGCTGAAACAGGTTACGTTACCTTCTCAGTGCATTTTCTCGTCGTGGTTAGAGGAGGCAGATTAAAATCTGGACTCCAATGGAATGATGTTTAAGAGGCTCTGCATCTTTTTTTCAAGGCAAAATAATGGTTATTCAACTAAGATGATATATCTAGATATGAAAATTGAGAGCATTCTTTGAAAAATGCTGCCGACTGTGAAAGGCTGCTCTTTCACAGAGGTATCCTGAGTGAAGATGTTATCTGCTGGTATCTCAACAGGACGGTTTTCAGAGCCTTAAGTGGAAATTCAAATCTGCTTCCAAGGGAAGATTGTTAAAATATATAATGCATAGAGAATTACAGACTTTCTCCTGAGAAGTTTACAGATTCATCCAAGAACCACCCCCCAAATTCTTCAGTGTTGCATTTGTATGGTAAACGGGGAGCTGCAATTACTCGCTCTTTTGATGTCTTTGAATGACACGATGAAAATGTCACCAAACTGCTCTCCATAAGCACACATGGAGCAGTTTGTGCATGGACACGTCTGTGCTAACTCAGAAATAGTTCAGAGGTCTAAGGGCAGACTATTTTCTAAGCCTGGTTTTTCATCTTCTGCTACTGGTTGGCTCCGGGGCTGCCTGGAAGTTCACTGAAGGATTTCCTGTGAACTTTACCACCTTGGTGAAGAAGTTTCCCCTTCTTTGCTTTGGCAGCTCAGTCACACCAGCCCAAAGTGCACAACTTCGAGAGATCCGCTGTCTCCAGTCTCCTGTGGGCCACAACACAGGCAGGATCAGGCATGCTGCAGGGACAGGCACTGAGGGATGGAAGCATGGGTACTGAAACACCATCCCAACCCAGGGAGAAGAGACAATTGCAGGTACTGTCCCCCGTTCAGCTCAGGAATGGAGGATGCAGCCCTAAAGTGCTGGAGTCTGTTTTATGCCCTTTTGCAATCCCACTCCCCTGCTGCTCTTGGGGAAACCAGGGGCTGCAGCTCCAGTGACTGCTCATCATGTCCCATGAGGTGGATATGGGGTTGGGATGCAAGGGGATGGGAGCTCCACCTGCTCCTAAGCCCCCTTCCCCAGGACTTGGAAGCTTATTGGCAAAAGTGAAACTTTAGATTTTTGTTACCTTTTAATTAAAACACACGGCAACCACCACAAGGCTGGCTTAACACCAGTGGGTAGCGAACCAGGTTTTCAAAGTTACACAGGAATATGGCATTTTGCATTCCTCATACAATCCAAATACGTGATTTCAGCACAAATTCCCTTTCTGAGCTCTGTGCCTGTGCAGGGTAGAAATCCCAGCCCTCTGGTTTTGCAAAGGACACGGCGATGGGGGGGGAATATGTGCCACAAATAGAGGTTATTTCATAACGCAGGCTAGCGTGCCTGTGAAATGCATGAAATACTTTGCCTTGGAAAGTGCTGTAGTCTAGTGAGTCATTGCTTTCTTTTGAATTACAGATGAGTAGCCAGCCCTTCACCATGCAAAGAAAAAAACTAGGTGTGGAGCTGAAAACAAAGGGAAACCTGTGTTTGTCCTGTCTTGGAGAGCAAGACACGCTGGCTGGCGTGGGAAGGCAGGGTGGGCTGAGCCCCAGGAGGTGGCTGTCAGGGCTGTGTCAGGCTGTGGCAGCACTGACGAGGGCAGACGGGACTCATGTGAGTGACTCCTGCTCCTTACCTTCAGGAAAGAGGGAAAAAAATCCCTTAACTCTTGCAGCTTCATGAGGAACCTTTACCAGAGCAGCAGCTCCATCTCATGGCATGTTCATTTCACCACAGAGATAGACATCACGCTCTGAAACAGCATGCCTGTGTACAACCTCCCTACCTCTGCGTGGAGGGAGCAGTAAAGTGTGACAGCTCAACACAGGCGCTGTGTGGACACTGAGGTTTGTCTCCAGCCCACTGCTTGGAGCTTCCCTTGCAGGGAGGTGGCAGGAGGTGGCTCTGCCATTATACAACCCACTATTAATTCTCAGAGGCAGTTTAAAGATGATGACAAAGCACCCCCAACGTCCCATTCAAACCAGTGCTTGCACCCCAGACCCCACCATGTTATTCCAGTGTTGAAAGTAGAAGCACAGCTTCACTGTGAAGACTGTTCCTTAGGCAAGTGTCTTCAAGGAGGTTATGAGGTGCTTTTCCCTGTAGCAGCCCCCATCGGCTGTGTGCATGTGCCTTGGTTTCTTAGTGGCTGCAGGCTTTCTGTGGGCTCTCCTTGCTCTCTGAATGGCACTTGTTGGAGTCACCAAAAAACAGGAAACATTTTTCTCTGCAGGGGAGCCACAGCAGTAAATCCTTTGCAGAGCATCAGCAGCTGAAGGTAAAGGGGGGGTCTTTTTACCCTAGAGCCCTGCCTGATGCAGAGGGGCTTCTGCTGGGCAGGTGAATGCAGGCTGGAGAAAAAAAGTCCACATTATGTCTGGGTTCAAGGTTGTCTGGGCAGTTGTTTGAGGCTCAGGGCCCTGAGTGCATCAGGAAGGTATTTGACCTGGGTTTTGTGATTCGTGCTTCGTGCCTCTGTCCGGGGAGAGGTTAACAAGAGCCCGGTTCTGCAGACCTACCTAGCTGCTTCTTAAAAAACACACTTTAAAAAGAACTATTTGCAAACCTCTCTGGTCACACTAAAGACACAGCGGTGTCGTGTGGGAAGCCTGTGATGTGGCATCAAGCTTGTAGAGGTGTTTAATGTTAATCAAAGGCTGAGGAGCGATAATGACTAGAACCCTCTTCTGTCATCTGCATCTTTTCTGATGTAGCATCCCAGCAATAAAAGATGCTGTTGTAATTGGACAAGAGTTGATTTTCACAGTGCAGGAAGAGGTCTGTCCAGGAGCAAGGGAAGCCAGGACTGCAGTGCTGCTGCCTATGGCAATGAGCACCTAGTCATTCAGAGAAGGAAAGCATGAATATCCTGACAGGAGAGCACCTACTTGTGCCCTGGAGAGCTCAGATCGTGGGGCTTTGCATGGTAATGATGTGGTCCCGCTCCAGCAGGCAAAGGGAGGAGCAATATGGGAAGGCACACCCTGTAACTGAAAAGCCACAAAGGCATCTTGGACCTGCAGGTATAGCAGGATAGAGGCAGTGGTTTGCTCGGACTCCCCAGGTCTGAGGCAGAATGGAGCCTCCTGGAGTGGGAAGTACAGAAAAACCTCTTCCCTATGCTGCTGCATTGCTCCCAGAAGGCTACGCGTTTTCTCTGGGAATTATTCTCAAGGGCATGATGAAGGTGGGAGAAGATGAAAGTGGGAAAGAGAGCAATGCCATGAAGGAGCAATGCCATGGGGAATTATTTCAAACATCTGTTTTTTCAGGCAGAGACTGCCTGATTCCAGACTGCAGGAATGGCTACATGGAAGCACACGCCTGTTAGGATCCATAGGTACTGCTTCGTTTCACTGGAAGTGCTTTGTTTCCTTTGGCTAGCATCACAGAAAAGCTTTTTGGATGATAGGTATTTAGCTGAGTGTTAACATAATAAAACAACCACTTGGTAGCTGTAAGGCACCATTGGCTTCAGCATCTCAAATTGCCATAAATCAGATCAGTTTCCAGTCCAGAAACAGAGCAGTTGCCATTCACATTTTCCAAAGGGTCTTGTGCTGAGGTAGGTGACCAGGTGACCTGCTCAAGATTATCAGATCCCAGAATAACGCAGGCCTCTGGAGAACACCCTGCTCAAAGCAGCAAGAGCAGGTTGGGTTTTGAGCAGCATTGCCCTCAAGGCTACCTCCATCCTACCTCTAGCCTTTCCTGGAAGACAGAACTGACCATGAACATCAAATCCTGCTCCTACCAAATATTGTGGAAGGGATGCTCACTTCTCATTCAATGCACCCCTCTGGCTTGAAGAGCTGTACCCAATCAAGCCATGCACATGTTCAGAGTAACTGCAGTTTATCCTTGCTCCTCTGGTAACTACTTATGCTGTCTCACCTTCATCTTCAGTGATGGGCTCCTCTGGCCAGTGGTGAACCCAAACCAGTTTGGCAAAGCCACATAGTCTGTGTTTGTCCTGCCTGAAGGCTGAGACTGCTGCAGCAGCCCTTGCCCTTCATTACCCATGCACCAAGGGACCACAGGACCCATGTTCCGTGTGCTAGCACAAAGCCACCGGCACTGCTGGGGTCACGCAGGTGGCCCCCGTGGTAGCATGGACTTGCCTTTGAGACATCTCTTGCATGTTGCAGGGCTAATGATTTCCCTTAGAAACCAAATCTTGTTTAACTGCTTGAGCGTTGCTTGGCTGTGTGACAGCCTTGCTGCTCTGGCAGGTGACTGGGAACGTTTTGTTGCACGATCTTTACAGTTTCAGGGAGGAGAAGCTTCCTCATAGCTGAGAGCAGCAGCAAGCAAGGAAGATGCACGTTACGATACACCTACAGAAGTTAGGGTCTGTGTTGGACACCTCCCCACTGAGGCCTCCATGGCCATTTGCACTGGGAATAGGTCACTTCTGGCTTCAGCCTTTTGCCAACGAACTTGCAAAGGGAACAAAGCAAATCCTGCTGTGGGCAGCTGCAGACATCTTCCTGCGGAATCGACTATGCAAGAAGGGTTGGGTTTTGGGTGTGCTCCCCTTGCGTGGCTCCGAGCCCGGTATTGTGAGGGTTCCCTCTGAAGCAACGTGGGAAGTAGTGGTGGAGGGACACCAGCCATGGGGAGCAAGGAGGGTAAAAGTGGGACCTGGGGGTTGGGCTGTCCATTAATGCTGGCATTGATGCAGCAGGCTAGTGGTGGTGTTCAGGTGTAGAGCTGCTGCTGCTGGCAGTTTTGGGTTGTATTTGGGATGGGTTGAACTGAAGGCAGAGGTGGGTCCAGCTAGAAGGAGCTGCTTTGTCTTGCTGAGTGCTGTTTCCTGCATCGGTACCCAACTGCTACAAGAGTTCTGAGTTGACACACACCATTAAGCCAGGACAGAATGGCCTTGAAAATGTATTCCCAGAAGTGCAAAGATAGTGTTGTGTGGATGGTTTTTCTACTCTGAAACAAACTGGTGTGTGCAAGAGGCTCCCCCTTACCCAGCAAGTCGTTTCCCTTTGCATTCCATCGGAGGTGCTGCCTCCCTTCCCTCTGTTCTGCAAGAAACTGAGCAGCTCAAAAAGGATGCAGGTGCACAAGCAGCTCTCAAGTGTATGGAGAAATCAGGGCACCTACGCTGAAGCTGCAGAGGTCACACTTTGACCCACCAGCTTTTAGCAATGGTGACTGCTCAGCTGCAGTAGCTTTTTGGAACCAAAGGATGCTTTAACCACTCCCTTTTGTAAGTCCTGAATGATGAGACAGTAAAGCTTTCTTCTTTGTATCACTCTCATTATACAGCCTATATGTGTGTGCTTATGGATTTTATTGTGATAGTCCAGAGCTTTCAAATGAACTTCTTAGTTTATTAATTCAGCTGCTTATGTGAGGGCAAGGAGCATCTTACAAACAGCTCAGGGAAGGAGCAGATAACTTCTGGATGACCCAGCTGCAAACCTAGGAATCCTACCAATGTCTCCAGACCATCACTGCTGCTATATTTTACTTTACTCCATATCCTGAGGCCACCAAAGCCATCAGAAGGCCGTCGAAGACATCCTTTTGAGTATGAGGCTTTCCTGTCAGCTGGACCACGGCACAGTGAACTCTGTCACCTGCTCCCCAGCCTTTCCCCATCCTCCACCCAGAGATAATGCGCAGGGGCCCACGGGAGGCTGCAGAGGTGGGGCCGGCGCGTGTTGTTCTCTAGCACTTTGGGACTGGTAGAACAGCTCTTAGAGCACGATTTTACTTGGCAGGGGCTGGTTTTGAAATGAAAGAAATAAGTAAGTGCCATCCTGCTCTGCTGGGAGGTTGAAGCGTTTCCTTTCTACGCTTTTTTTTTTAATGATCTGTTTGTACCGAGGCCAAACACTGAATGCTTCAGCCTCAAAAATAAAAGTTTCAACAAGAAATGCAATTGGGAGGAAGCTACAATACAGGCGCTCTTGTGCCTTCAGCCGTGCTGCCGCGAGACAGCTTGGATTCCATCATATTTTATTTTAGAATTTTGTTGATTTTATAATTTTATTTTATATTTTCATGTTTTTCCTTTAAAGTGGAACTGAAGGAGTGCATTGGTGCTGCTGACTCATCAGCTCTGGAGACAGGCTCGCCCTGTGTACGCAGTCTATCCGCACCCCCACTGAGACTCAAACACCTGGGGCACCAAACCAGGCTGGGAGGTAATAACCCCACAGAGATGAGGAATAGCTGGTGGATTTGGAGGAAGAGGTAGGGTCTCGAAGCGCACAGTGAGGTCTTCTCCTGTTCTGGTGAGCACAGGAACAACCGAGCCAGCGTGAAAGAGGAGGAGGACACAGGAGTGGAGGCTGGCAGTGGGGGGAGGGATGGTCTACCTTTTTTGGCAGCACCTTAAAATCAGCTTAAAGTGATCATGAAACCATAGGGTAGTATTTCACCCCTTTTTACTGTGGTCTCATGCATGAAAGCGCCAATACAAGCGCCAGCTAGCTCGTGTAAGACGAACATGGATGGAGGACAATAAGTTCTTTCTTAGGTCCCATCCAACAAGCATCAAATAATACTGATTTTCAAGTTCTATGCGCTGCGCTCAGCTCAAAGCCGCAGACGAAGCCCCGCTCTAGCAGTGTGGTATAGGAGCATTTCTACCAATTTCAGTGAGAGCCCTGCAGGCAGACAGCTTGCAGGGACAGGCTCGGGGAGTTTCAGGAAGCTGCAATATAGAGTAAATAATAATAAGCAGAAATAAAAAAATAAATCAGAAATGGGTTACCTGCTCTGAAGGAACTGCTCTCAAATTTCCTGCAAGAAAGAAAGATCACCATGTTATTTACATTCCAGTTAACTCACTGAAAAACCCCAACAGACAAGGGTATGGTGTTAGGTAACTCTTTCACTTTTATGATAGGACGCAGCTATTTTATATCCTGTTATTCAGTGGATGAATTACAACTTTTAATATGTTGTTTATACAAGTCCGTACATGTGGGATGCGAGTATTCCCTCAAACACTACATCAAGTTAAAGCAAAAGTGATTTTTGTGGATAGGGCAGTGTGGAGACATGAGGCCGGCGACGGATTGGGGTTCCCGCATTGTCTCAGCTCTGTGGGGAGCTGTAGCAGGTGTGGGATGCACACAGTGGGACAGAGCTGCGGCTGCAGCACACCTGCAGCAGGGTAGCTGTGGGGTGGTGGAGCTGCCTGCCTGAGTGTTTGTCTTGTGTCCGGGAGGGTTTTGCAGCCCGTGCGCTGTCAGGTTGCTGCTGGAGGTGCTCGAGGATGAGGCTTCATGTTACAGCTTGAGCCGAATTAACAGCTGCCAACATCAAAAAGAAGTCCTGCTGCAGGCAATGTGCTTCTGCCCCTCACTTGGTGGTGTCTGTGGTGTTCTCTGGTCCCCAGGCAAAGCAGTTTTGTTCAGGGGATGGGCAAATGCCGACAGGAAAGAAAACAACCTTTTTTTGGTTGGATTAATATGGTGGCGGTCCTCTGCGTGATCCCATGAATGTGGGTAAATGAAGGTGGGAAGGGGGAAGTAGAACCTTCCCATTTTGATGGTGGCAAGTTGCTGCTTCAGCTTCACCATAATGTGGAAGCGCACCTGTAGCTGGTTTGTTTGAAACTATCTATTTCAGTTGTGGCTATAGGAACCACAGTTATGCCTCGACTTTCCGTGTCAGTGTGCCTGGAGTCTGGCTCAGTTCCTGCATACCTGTCAGTATAGTGATAGGACACCTGGACAAGGCAGAAGACAAAAATCCTCGTTTCACCCCTTACGCAAATACACTGACATATCCTTGCCTGGCTGACTTTACAGGATGACTCTTTAAACATAACTTTCTCATGCTGGACTACTCCTCTATTATACTGTTACACTACTTTGACTCTGCTACAGCAGAGATACCAAACTCTGCCAGAGCAAGACAGCCACATGTTTACTCCAGAACCATTTGCAGAAGTAGCGTAAAACACTGCTTCACAAGCCATGTAACTGGTGAGGCTCTGCTGCTGGCCATTGCACATTCAATAACAGAGCAACATGACAAAAACTAATAAACATTTTCCCTGTCTTTGTCAAAACATGAATTGCACTGCAAGATAAGGAGATTCCAATAATCAGTTGATATATTCTATGTTGTGGGAGCTGGTAGCTGAATCCTTATGCCTCACCCTGCTAGGTATACACAAACCAAACTCACTCTGCAATACCACTGCCTTATTTAAATTCCCAGATCCAAATTCTTTCTCAAGATATCAATCACCATTATTTCTAGCTTCATCCCTTTGTGCATATTCGAAAGAGACTTGTTCTCTTACCTTCCTGGCTGCTGGAAAAGGGTTTCCTCACCAGGGAGCTGGCTCGGCTGTCCGCTCCAGGCTTACACTCAGGGTCCTCTGCCTGTCTGTGGCTGGTGGGTCTTTGAAAACAAAACAGAAGTGATAGAAAGGGAGGGAACAAGGGCTGAAGAGTTGGGGAGACACTGCATAGCAGAGCAAGGCTGTTTTGTTTGCTTTCTATCTTTTCAAGTACACAGCAGCCTGTGTAATTCCCTGGCTACAAACTGTAGCTCTCTTTTATCAGATGCCAGTATGTTTGTTGACTGAGTGTCACCAGGACCACTCATTTGGCCATGCAGTCACTTTAGTACCATCCTGTCATTCAAAGACACAGTGTAAAGCTGGTGTTTTTCTGAGCAATTAATGTTTTGTTAAACAGGACAGGCTGGGGATGTGCAATACATGTAGCTCGTGCCTGGCACTGCAGCAAGCAGTCGGGCGGATGCTGGGAGATGAGGATTCAGACCCAAAAGGCAGCACTGATTCTTCAGTTAATCCTTGGCCCCACACCACTTCTGTCACTGAAATCCAAGTTGCAAAGGAGCTCCAGGGAGGAAAACACCAGGTATGTGTTACAGAAAATGCAGATGGGGGTTTTTGTTCCTTTCCTTTTCTTTGGTTTTACCAGTCTCGGTTTCTTCACTCATCATTAACCTCTGCTTATGTAGGCGTGTGGAAAGACAATCCATTCCCAAGGCAGTGGAACTGGAAGTCTGGAGGCCATCTTGTGCTATTTTGGCTTGCCTACTCGCTGCTCGTCCTGCCATCTGCAAATTGCCAAGTGCCTGGCAAAGTCCAAGGGAGGGTTGCCTTCAGCAAGAATGAGTCAAACAGAGAAAATAAACTAAACCTCTCCTACCAGGCCAGCTGGGAACCCCTCAGGGGGGAATTCTCCTCATTTGGGTGGCTTTTCCTCCTCCATGGACATAGTCATGTTTAACTCAAGTAGTGTTTTCCTCAAGGGTGGCTTTCAGATATGACAGCAGTGTAGTTGTGAGAATGAAAATGTGAATGCTTTTGTGCAGCATGTAATTTGTTAAATGACCAAGTGTAAAATCTCACTCGGCTTTGATAATACAAATAATACATTCCAGGCATAAAAAGCCCTTTATTGCTGGTGAGAATATAAATAATTAAAGAAAAATCTCAGATTTTCCCTGTGCCTTTGTCTTCACACTACCAGTCAGGCGATAGCTATTCAAGCAGCTGGGCATCTGTAAAGCAACTAAAAGCAACTCTTCTCATCAGCTTTCCTGAAAACATTTTTAAGCTGCAGTAATGCAACTCTCTCATCACACTAAGCTTTATTGGTTCAGCAAAAGAAACTAAGAAACTTCATTGGAGACCAGATTATGCTGGTTGCAAAATCAGAGGGATCCTTCTGCTCTTCGACCCCATTATCTCCTCTGTAGTGTCTTGATCAGCTTTCTTACACACAGCCTCAGATTCTGCTGAGACCTGCAAATTGCTTTTTTGGCTGCCAAATTGCCATAACCCATCTATTTTTATGTTTTAAAAGAGCTTAAAACCCTCCATCCTCTTTGGATGTGTCTTTAAAATTGACCAGTACTGGGAGGATTTCATGTATATCCGAAAGCTTAGAAGAAGATGTTACCTCTACTGAGCTTCTAGTTTTACAGTCAACAGACATGAAAAGCCCAGCGGGGATAAAAGGAACTTAACCAGTTCTGTCTAATGCATATAAATCTACCTAAGAGCTCAAGGCGCTGGAAGTACTCAATGAGCCATATTTATCTCAGTCTAAGATACAAAAATGGGTCTTCAGCTCACATGCCACATGTCCCATTTTGATGCCAAGTTAATATGAATTAAGAGACTGAGATGAATAAACAAGGTCAGTCTGGGCTGGGCCAAGTTGAATCAATGTAAAATAATTGTCAGTATTTTCTGTCAGCAATGCTGGTTTATCTTGGCCCGGGATTCTCGGCGCTATAGATTATAAAATGTTTTCAGTGGAACAGTTGGCAGGCATTTTATTGATTTTGCTTTGTTTTGTGAATGCTGGAAAAATTTCCATTAAGTGTGCACGCTGCTCATGTGATGAAGCCAATCTGCTTTTCCAAACTCCTCTTTCTTCAAGTGTGCTATCGTGTTAATACATTAGCAATCTGATTTAATCAAGAGGACCTCTGTCTGGAATCAAGAAGCCATAGAGCACACCTTGATGTGTCTCAAGTACTTACGGGCTAATAAGGGTTAATTCTGTATTTTCAAGGTGCTGTGCACACACTGACTAATTAATTTGCCCAACATCCCTTTGAAGTTAGTAACATATTATCTCAGATTTACAGATGTAGAAATTGAGAGTGCAACTTCGCACAGAGCCACACATATTTATTTGCCTGCTGTCGTGTTCTGGATGCACGTGAAGCTCCTGTTGCCTTCACCAGGGCTGGGCAATGGCAAAGTACGAGAAGGGAGGGTGCAGCAACCAGGCAGGATTAGCACTGCTGAGCTGCTGGATTCCACTTCCGTGATGAATTTCCTACACCACATCGCCTCTTAATAGAGTTACTTTGGAACTGAATATTGCTAGGACAGATAGAGCAGCTTGTAGGATTACGCCTGGACCCATGGCAGACTGTATTTCTCAGCCTATATTCCTGCTATTTTAAGACCAGGTTTGCTTTGGGGTTAAAGAAGACTTCTGAAAATAACAACTAATGGTGGAAGAACACAATAGGTGTCATAATGGTGATGACTGCTTATTTTGTTTAATTGCATGTAACAGTGGAGTAAGTAAGAAATCTGCTTAATGGGTTCTTTATATAACATACCAAAGGGGATGCAATGGGATAAGTCTAATTCTCTCTCTCTTTACACTGGTTTAATAACTAACACATACAGATATGAAACTGGCATGCAGCTTTAACACTTCCTGAGGTTTGATCAATTATGTTACTGAATTGAAATATACAAACATGCTTCTGAGCTTAAATAAAAGACTTTTATAAAAGTAGAAAAACATGTATTTTAAGTACATAAGCAACAGGAAAGTTTTATGATGAAAACCACTGTGGTGATACATACTTTCGACTTCTATCCTAATCACACGTATTGAAAGCAGAGATATCCCAATTAAAATAGGAGTAGTTCTGGCTTGAGGGATGGGGACAAGGTGGATGGGAAAAGCTGAAAAAAAAAGCCTCCAACCTAGCTTCACATACTTCCTGACACTGCCAACAAATGGAAGATATTTAAACCCTCAATGCGTTATAGTATGGAGACAGAATGACGCATTGACCGCAGTTACCAGTGCCAATGGCTGAGGAGTGAGTGCACCCATACAGCTCTGTGCTGACTCTTATGTGCCAAATTCTGACACAGTCACTGGCTGACTCATCCAGAAATAAGCTGTCCCACAGGGAGTCAACGAGTTCCTTTTAACGCATTGCTGAGAGGATTGGTATGCTACCTTGGTGCTCTGAACAACATCCATACCTTCTGAAAATATTTTCCTCATTTACAAGCAGCAAAAAGGTTATACTGATCAAAACATTTCCATAAGTAGGTAACAAGAGTACTAAGAAGACCAGAACTGCTAGACTGTAATACATCTGGCATATGGAAGGGAAGAATAGAAGTGGTCAATGGCAAACGTAAGCCAGAGATGACAGCTTTGTCTTGTAAAATTATTCACTGGACTATGCATTGTGTATTGCTGATATTTAACTGTCCTGTTCATGTCAGAGTGGAAGCACTCAGGCAGCAGATAAAATGCCTCGATCTGGAGTGTTCTTCTGCAATCTTTATAGCCCGTAACTTACTCTGTGTGTGTACGCACAGTTCGGGAAGTTGACTACAGTTCTCTGCTGACAGCCACACTATTGTTACCTTCACAAAATGCCATGGAGTTAAGCCAATTTTCTCTGTAAAACATATTTTAGTTTCAAACCATGTTCTCTCCTTTCTGACTGCCAAGGCAAGAAAAGAAATCAGACTTTGTCTAGAAAAAGACCTCAAAGAAATAAAACCCTAGGACTATTTTATGAATGATTATTTTGGTTCCAACCTTTTCTGTCCCTTTTCTGTCTCTGTCACAGGCTATGAGCTTTTCTTGTTAGGCAAAGGAGATGATGATGGCAAGAGTTAATTGAAGTGATTTGTTAATCAATCCAAACTAGCCTTCTATTATACACATGCAGACACCAGGGTCCCTGAAGGGCATCAGCAGCAAGATTTATTAATTTAGTTAAACATTAAACATTAAGTTAGTCTTCTGCTAGTCTTCACAGGGTCCTTGCCCAGGGCTTCTGCTTAGGTGTAATTAATGAGATTACACCTCACCTGTCCCAAAACAAAGGTTCTGTCAAAGCTGAAATACAGGAAAGAAAGAAGTCTAGGTACGTGCTAGAGATGAGCTTCCAAAAACTTGGGTGAGATGCAGATTTGGGACAGTGTCTGGGTCTGGCAGGGCTGCTAGTGTTAGAAATGTGGTCATGTAGGTCAATTGATTTCATGGGTTTGGTGGTACAAAGATGTAAAGCCAAGGCAGACAACAAAAGATGCTGGAAAAGAAAAAAGAACAGCTGTCAAGTGCACTTGCTGAACATCTCTACAGTCCCATTGTGGTGTTTTGTATTGATTAGGGGAACCACTGCTACCAGAAGACAGCAGAGCGTGGGAGTACTTGAATTCATGCAGGCCAAGTGCATGAGTGCTGCTACTGGCTTTGTGTGACTTAAAATTAACTTGTATGGATGAGGCTGTGGGTTTTTTATAGCAAGATTAATGACACTGAACACTGATGCTCTACTGGCAAAATACAGATTTATTCTAGGTTGGAAGAGAGCTCTGGAGGTAATCTGGCCCAATGGTCTCCCCAGGCAGATTCAACTCTTCAGCTTCAAGATGGATCTGCGGCCCAGAAAAGACTTGGGCCAGATAGCAACAGAAATGAACCATTGGCACTGGTGAGCATCCAGAAGGTCAGAAAGAGAACAACACTACATTCCCTCGCATTAAACTTGGAGCAATACTCATGATCCCAGATCTGAGATGACTCTTGTCACATCATCAGCAAGGACATTTGCTGTAGGAAGTCATGGTATGTCTTCATGCAGGGGGTGAAGCAAACAAAAGCATGCCAGATTACAGATCAAGTCCTCAGAGACAGTATCTCAAGGATTTAAATGATGCTGAGGAGGCAAATCAACAAGTTGCCTGCAGTACTACATACAAAGCTTGGCCAAGACAGGAAGGCTGCATTGTGCATGCCGTTAGGGAACAGAGATGAACAGCAGTAAATCTATTACAAAAATGGAATTTTCTTTTGTTTCTCTTGAGGGGAAAGACTTCAGAAGTAAACAGGAAATTATTCAGGATGTACGTTTATCTCACTGGTGAGCTGAATACATAAACACCGAAGGCCAGTGTTAAACAGCATGCGAAATGGAGAAAGTCAATAATGAAACAAAAAATGACCAAGCTAACAAATGACGAAGGGCCTTCACAGGAGTGAGAATGTGTCCTGATTACTGATTTTGAAACTGCAGGTAGTAGTTGGAGGCCGGGAAGATGTGGACAGTGGAAATGTCAGATATGAATTTGTGATGTAAGAAATCACTTAGAATAATAATGTTGCTGCACACCACTAAGATGCTCACCTACAAGCCCTATACAGCTGTGATTTCATAAACTTCATTGTGTTTTAGTAAGGCACTATTATTGCCATTTTTTGAGTAAATTCACTGAGGCAGAAGAAAGCAAATATTGTTTAATTTGGGGTTCACATGTTGGGTCAATTTTCCTCAAGTGCTGAGTAAAAATCTACCCATTATAAACCACGTCCTGTGCTGATGTCTCAGATTAGGAGCTGAATCTCTGGTAAGGCTGAAATATCTTGTCCACAGAGATGATACATTGCAATAACTGCCCAACTGAGAACATCCCTATTTATGTTGGCTCCTAACATTCAGAACCTTCCTTTCTTTATAGAGATTTCTTCACATGAGGAAGTCTGCTGCAGACTTGGAATCAGATGTAATTACAGAAAACAAACTGTGAAACTGGAGGCAAAACACAAGCCACAGTTACGTGCTTCTAACCGTCTGTGGGTTTTCTTTCAGCACACAGAAGAAGTTGTTGGAGTCACCTATGCCTCAGCAGGTGACCTTCCCAGCCAGTTGGTGCTGTCACAGGGAGTGCGTTTAAAACTCAGATCATGTTGGCAGGCACCAAGTGACTGTGGCCAGCCAGGGGAACCATGAGAAGTTTTCCCTCACAGCTCTGCAAGAGGCAACCAAAACCTCAGTCCTCTCCTTAGGGAGTTCAGCTGTAAGCACTGGGTGTCAGCAGGAGGAGGAGATGGTTGCATGGGCGAGGAGCTTGCTTTGTGCTAACCAACCTGGCAAGAGGCAAACTAAAGCCTGAGGAAATCCCAGCAGTTCAAGCAGCTCTGGCTATTGCAAGGAGCCGCTTGTGAGGCTCAGCAACTTTTGGTGACCCACCTGGGCAGGCGCAGGTGAACACGGTCAAACCAGGACACCTGGGAGTAGGAGCACTGGTCAATCTCTCTCCCAAGATGCCTGATGAAGGCAAATGTGGGACTGCCAGAGATGTGTGAGTCATTGCAAGCTCTGAAAGGGAAAAGGTGAGCTGAAGGGAGGATAGCGTGTTTATACCTCGGGATCATGGCATGCTGGGATTAGCCTCTGCTCTAGTGCACTGTTAAAGTTGCTCCTTTTATTGAAGCTCTTGGAAAGTTGTCTGTGGTTAAGTAGAGTCTCCAGCATGATCTTACTGTCTTTATTATTTACCCATACCAATATGGTGCTATCTCTATCCCAAAAGTTAGGACAAAATAATCTTGTGCTATAGTTTTAAAAGCAGGCACCATCTCCAAATCCATCAGGTATCTCCAAAAGCTTTAGATGGTGTTCTGTACCCTAAACGGTGTAGGCTATGTATAAAATAAGTATTTCACTAGTGGTATGCAGTTAGTATATTGGATATTATATCTAATACAGCAAAAGCTCAATCTATTCATGTGATAAAAGACAGAAAACTAGGTAATTCATAGATTTTCAGAAGAAATATGTTTCTTGGCCATTCACAGAGTGTTCACACTTACATACAAATGGTTAGGATGATTTGTCAATGTGGGAGTTCAATACTGTACTTACACTAGATTTCCTTAAAATGTTTCTACAAACAGTAGGTATAGAAAATAAAAATAAGTGTATCTATATACTCACTGTTTCTTTTCTATCAAGAATAAATAAAGAAAAATAAGAGAACAAATGCTTTCTTAATCTTTGCAGAAGAGCTGTTTCATTCTAATTTCCCGGCCGTTGCAAGGTGGTGTGCTGGCTCACTAGCAATAAAAGCACTTAAAAGAACCCCAACAGTCATCAACCTTGTTGTTTCTCTCAAAATAGGTAAGTTCCAGGTTCTAATCAGCTTTGGAGGAAAGACAGTCTGGAAAGATCATCCCAGGGATTTGATTGCAGGCTAGTGATGAGTTTTTGAAAGTTCTGCTTACTCTAGTTGTTCATTTGCTGCATTTCCATTGCTGTATTTCTGTCTTCTGCACCTTCATCAAGGAGGGCTGTATTTGCCCAAATAGTTTAACTTGAAAATGGAGATTGCCATGCCATGCCATGTCCTTCTGGCCTCCATGTTCTTCTTAGTTCCTGCTTACTGTTTTAATGCTTTATTGTGTTTATAGTCATGATGCAGATGACAACTGAGGTTGGCAGGAAAATTCAGAATATCAAACTTACATTTCAAAAGTATTTTGGTTAATTGTTCCTCCCTCCCATTTTCTGTTTGGAAATACAGGATTTTCCTTGGCTGTACAGAACATCTTCGATAAACGCATGAGCTGCCTGTGTACCCTTTCCTGCACTGCTCACCTGTGGGAGCAGCTCTGTGCTGGTGGTCTGATGGCCAGACAGGAAGCAGGTAGATTGTGCTCTCCTCCGTGCTCTGAAGATCGGTCAATGAAAGCTTCCCGAGATGGGTTTTCTTCATCTGACTGCCCCATGAATTCTGTTAAGATGAATCAAGGTATTATATCAGGCTTAGTTAATTTAAAAGCACCAATCAAGTTGACAACTTAGATGTCAATAAGGACAAGGGTGTCCTCTCTTGTAAAGGATGAAATTGAATGGAAAACCATATGCTTATGCAATTTTCACCTTTGAGTCATTCCCTTGAAAAGGAGGACAAGTAGCTAATGACCAGCAACAATAACACATCTAAGAGTCTTTGGAAGAGAGAAAGTAAGTGAGTGTTGGCTTTAGTTAGCAAGGAGGAAATGCCTTCTCTAAATTGCCAAATACAGAAGATCTAGCTGGCTGCCAAGGTCTGCTGCATGTGAGTACTGCACTGTTGCCATATAGGTCCAAGTCTTATCAATTGGACTGTTCCTCACAAGGGTATGTGTAACTCCTTCCTTTAAAAATAAAGACTTCTTTTGGCTCTGTTTCAGAATATTCTGGCTCACAATCAAGACCCTAAATCTTCAAGCAGGTGAAGGAAGGGTCTCCAATTCCCAAGTTCCAGCCCGAACCCTTTGGGAAAAGGAACTGTTCAAAAATACCTGAATCACTTAAAAATACAGATGAGGAATTGCATATTCCAGGTGTGAGACTGAATATAAATAAATAAAAAAAGTAATCAAACCACAAGCCAGCAGAGTTTGGATTAAGGAAAAAAAATCCTGTTACAGATAAAGACTTTAAAAGATTTTTCTCAAAGTCTTAAGACCCTTTTGCGTTTATTTTCTTTTTCCTTTTTTAATCCTGTTTTTCTCCCCTTGTTCTCTGCCCTCCCAGATCCTGTATAAGCTAATCTCCACGATACCCATGGCAACACCATGGGCAGCACAAAGAATATAACACTCTTGCGAGCGTTGCTCTACTGCTAGTTTACATTTTGGCCGGAGACCCAGAATGTTCACCAGCTTAGGAGGGCAAATCTACTTTTAAGTGTTTTTGAACCTTCGAATCCTAAAAAGCTAACACTGTTAGATTGCTGCGGACGATTTCTACTCTTCATGTACCAACATATTATTAGCATCTGCGGTGTGAGAAAGGGTGAAGTGTGGCAGCTGATTTGGCTTTCTCAGGTAAATGATATTCTCTGCCTGTGCTGCTGTTTCCCACACATGGAGCAATGTGGGAAATTGCTAAAAACAACCAACTTGGTCAGGCGCAAAACACCTCCAAGCATGCAGACCACATTACAATAAGTAAAGGAGCTAAACTGGTCTTGGTGCAATTTCTCCTCTACCTTGAATAAGAATTCCAGAGAGAAGAAAAGGAGGTGAGAAAAAGGAGTAGGAGCAATGCTCTACATCTAGGAAATTCAACATCGAGGCAAGTAAAGTAGGTTTCTCTGGAGATTTCTTCTTGGAGCCTGATGCAGAGTGAGCAGCCAAGAGAATGATGGCAGCAATATGGAGAACTTAAAAAGAAGATACTGCTTGTGAAGAGCATGAAGAACTCTGGGAAAGGGCTTAGACAAAATTCCTACTGATGTGTATTGTGGGCAAAATCCACCACAGCTCTTGTGGGACAAACTTTGACAATCTCTGCTTGAGAACACAGTTCTCGCTGCCAGGCTTCCTCCTATGAACCAAATCTTTGGTCCTGAAGGGCCTCCCTGTTCACTTCACCTTTTAAGGAGGGAAATGTTTCTTAAACCTTTGAGTTTTCTAAATGTGAAAGCTAAGATGTATAGTGTGAGTCAAGCTGGTGTAATTTATCTTATTTTCTTCTTTTTCTTTTTCCACCTACTCAGTAATGTTCAAGGCCTACAGAACTTACCCATTAAACTTACAAACTTTCATCAATATATGCCTATGGCTTCTCCTTAGACAATGCTGAGGCTGACCTAGCTCCAAGGATCAGTGGCATTCCCGAACGTAAAACCCTGAGAGATGCTGGGAGAGGAGTGTGTATTGAAAAAAAGAAACAAAATAGGACTGGGCAATTTTGTCTTGATCTCTCTCCATCATACCATTAATTTATGTTTTCTTATACTTGCTGAGAACCAGATCTGAATAAACCACAGACTTCTCATATCAATCACATGCTTTTGGTGGGACCTAGCAGTTTTGTAACATGGAGCGGGCTACAACTTGGAGGTATCCAGTCCTCACATGGCACACTTCTAATATATGAATACTATAAGCAATTATAACCATTGCTACTGACTTTGATATTTTGCTCTGTGGATGCAGCACAGCTATACCCTATGAAATAGTGCTACTGGATCCATAGTGACCTCATGTAAAACAGAGCAGTCTGCCATACACAAGCACATTTGTAGTTAAAATTTGGGGATAAGGGGGATTCTTAGCTACAGGAGTGCAAATAAATTTCTTTGCACTGTCATATCTAAATTAAATATCTGAGACTGACCTTAAATTGACCTTAAATTTAGATAAGTTACGAGGATTGAACCTATTCTAGTCTGAGTATACAACTGCAGTGTTGCAGTAGAATGTTAGATAGGATCAGATGCCAGCAGTGGTTCAAAGCCACAAACCTACCAGGTACAAGCTCTAGAGTAAAGAAATAAACATTTTTTGTTGTGGGACAGTGGACTGTGCTCCCTGTGAGAAATGCTACAGCAGAAAAATGAATGTGCAAGGAATACTGTTTAAACAACACAGCCCTTCCCAAACCAGAGGCAACATATCCCACATTTAATTAAAAAGGAAAGGAGTTTGGCAACAGCATCGTAGAGCTGCGAGAGGGTGGTGGTCCTCACATCTGAATAAGGGCTCTGGCTGGGGCTTGATGCTTAATAAAGACTTTACTTTGTGCTAACATTGGAGCTATTACAAGTTGCACCTTATATTTTGTATTCAGGTATTCTGGAATCTTCTGGCTTGTTGCACAATAAACGCTTGCTGTTTTTAATTCTAGCCTAAGATTTGCCTATCATGGGAGGATCTAGGAATCCGAATCTGAATTTTAAAAACTTGAGAGTTGGTATCGTGGCTAACGTTTCATCATTAATTTATTAGATGCAATAATATGAATTACAGTGTGCTAAAAATCTTTATCTACAAAATCCCATTTGTCATGATCAGTATCAGCATAATCTTGTACACACACAACCACACAATGCGCATTCTGCATTTCCAAAATTTGCTGATAAGCTGCTATTACATCTAGCAACTGTCTGAAATAGCCAAAATGTTTCTTTACAAGTCCAGTAAAAGTTCTCCTATGCTTTCATGAGCAGGGTGTTCTCTGAATGCCATACACAGCTGATGAGATCTCATCCTTTCCCTGCTTACATGTGTGTCATTCTTTAACCGTATCTATTCTCTTTTGGATCTGTGTCTGCAAGTCAGAAGTTGTTTCCGTTCTCCAGTATCCTCCACCGGACTTTCAGGGATAAAAATGCATTTGAAAACGTGCAATGACATGGTAAAATGAAAACCTTCTTTTAATATTGTTTGCAAAATTGACAGCTCTACTTAACAGAAGCCATTAGATTATTTAGAAAGTAGCAGCTGCTCTTGTAAAAAATGCGTCCTTTTTTGAGGGCATGAAAAATAAACTAGTTGATAAGAGAGAGATAAGCCATTTGACTTCTTCTTTGTGTGCCTGGCATGGTACGCAGAACCAATTCTGTACAATCTGATGTTTACAGAGCAATCGTAATGTACGACCTCCTTAGGCAACAGGGACACAAGAAGCCTGTAAAACGCTGAAGCAAGCATTTAATCAGAAGTCTTCATGCTGATCTTTGAAAAATTCAATAAGTTCAAAAAATGTAACTCCTTCCAAGGATAAAATACCATATTTTTATTTTTTTTTTTGCTTCAGGAGTTGCAAATACATCCCAGTGAACTCCCAGTGAACCACACAGACCAGACATACTGCTCTTCTTTTTTTTAAAGCAAGAAGTAAATAGTAGAGTTCTTCTGAAAGAAACAAATCAAGGGTCTGAAGATATGCAAATGGTTAAGCAAAGGGAGTGATGCAAAACAGTATAGTTTAGTAATAACCCAAACAATCACACTTTTTAAATAGGCATTTGAATAGCTATTTCCATGTGAATAAGTTCGTATCTCCTTTTCTTATGCATTAACTTCTTTTTTTATTTTAATTTTTTATTTTGACCTGTTGAAATGAAACTCAAGCTTTTGCCAGTTTGTTAGGGGGGTTTGTTTGTTTTTTATTTAAATTTAAGGCAAGTGATGGCTGCAGGAGGCATGATATTGAGCGTGATCTCATACATTATCTAGTTGCTCCACCTTAACTCTATCCTGGGTTTTCTCAAACCACATGCAGGTATTTCCAAAGCCACTGGGTAAAATTCTTTTGGTATCAAAATTAGTGGGAACTTCCATTGCTGATTCGAGCATCGTCAGCTCTTTTTTCTGGCTTCTATTGTTCTCCAGAAAACGTCTTTCTAAAGAAACAGATTGCAATAAAATTGTTTAGTTTCAACAAATTCCTGCAGCAAAACCACACAGCTTTGTCTGTGTGTGTGTAAAAATGTCACTCTAAACTTCTCTGCTTCTTTTGGCCTAGTTTTCCACAGCTTCTTATTTTTAGATTATTTTGGTGGTGTTTTGTCAATTCTCAGCGCTGACATGTTTTAATTTGACAAATATAAATTGTCAAAATATTGTTTGTATAGTACTTTTAAAACCCATTGAGAACAGCTGTTACTGCTGAGAGAGCTCGAAAAGGCACATTAAATCAGAATGTCTCCCATTTTTGTTGTAATTTAACAATTTGATACCTGAGAAGATAAGGCACTTCAATCATTACTAAGTAGAAGCAACCCTTAATGGCAGCATAACATGCCATTATTTCACTAATGGGAAATTAGGTGTATTAGCAGCAGCAAAGTGTTTCAATGGGTGTGACAGGAAATGTAGGAATTAAAACAAAAGTTACGTGATAAAACTAAAGAAGTAATCAACATCTATAAACAACTCAGTTTTTAGCACAGCCAGTTACATTTCACACAGCAGTCTGCTGCAGCTTGCAGTGAAAACTTTCTGCAAATGGAAA